ATTTTGAAAAACAAAACACACGTTTAAAAGTTGTATTTTGCGCCGGTTAGCTTAGATCTTTGCCATCCTGCGAATAAATGAAACAAGAAACCCTACATTAGAGGGTAAAAGTGACATTTCCCGCACGACTCATTTTTCGTATATAAATAGTGACTAACTGGCAATTAGGGATTCAAGTGCCTTTGAGAGAACCGAGCGCAGCAGCAATGCAATGGCGTCCGAGTTCCGTTGCGGGCGCATAGAAAACCCTAATTTTTCTCATTTCTCTCTGCGATTTGATTCCAGGTATTGCAGAAAGTACGTGGGAAGGATTTGCACATAGCCTTTGCTTCATTATCGTTTTCTCATTAGTTGCTTTTATTATTTTGTTAACGATTTTTGAATATTTGTTTAAGGCCGTTCCAATGGGTTCTCAGCAAAATGCTGTTTGAGTTCTCAATTTCACCCGGCCAAAATCTGATCCCTTTTTGGGGGGCAGCCTCAAGGATTTTACGTGTTTACCCTCATGTTTAAATTCAGGGAAACTGCCCTAAATTTCATCTATCACTGTGCTTTTCTTTTTTTCCCAAAACAATAGATTCTGGGGTGAAATGTTCTTTTACTACGTCAAAACAAGTGATTTTATCATGATTTTTCTTGCTGTGGAAATTTTTGTGATGTGATGTGATGATTACTTGTGACATTTGCCAGTAATTGTAGTTGCTTGGGCGAAATTTTAAAGTAAGGTTTCGGGTTACTTAGGATTTGATCGTTGAGTTTAATTTCACTGTGATTGTTGCCACATATGCCTGTAACTTTCTTCATTGTTTTCAACAATATTGTGACTGCCGCTGCATTTTACAATATTATTATAATAGGAATAATATTATCATCTCTAATATTATATAAGAAAAATATATTTTCACATAAATTTTTTACATTCTTTCTACATTCAGTTAATATTACTCTTTCTTATTTTTTATTTTAGTTTTTTCAAAAAATTTATAAAAATTCATTTTATTCTTATTAATTATGTCAAATGAAAATAAATTTTGTATCATCTTAACATTACTCCTTATATAAAGGTTATATGTATCATTTTTATATATTTTAATACTATTTTTATATAGTTACATGTTAAGTTATGTTAGTTTTTTATTTTATACTTAATTATTTGTTAAAGTAATAAATTTAAATAATTAAATTATATATTTAATGGTGATAAAATTAAGTTATTAATGTGTTTTTCCTAATTAATTATAATAAGGGTTTTGTACTTTTTCATTTTGTTAGTTGGAAAGAAAACAAATATTTAAATTTATTATAATAGAGTTAAATATGTTTTTATTTTGAGAAAGAATTAATTTTAATTTTTATAAAAGTTAAGAGGCCAGACGTCCAAATTCTATGCAGCCATGTGTTTAAATTTGAAGAGTTGTTTCTTTTTACTCTTTGAGTTAAGTTTTGCTTAATTTTTATTTTGAATTTCTCTTCCTTCCATTTATATTATTTATAGATAGAGGCAAATAAAAGAGCGGTTTGGCGTTGATATTTTGATGTCCTTCGTATGTAAAACTAAAACAAATGCACACAAACATTTTGGTTTATCTATATTGTTTTCATTATCTTCAACATGTTTTATTAATTGCCATAGTTACACGCTTACGAAATTGAATTTCATACTGATTTAAATTTGAGTAAAAACAAAAAATATGGGTCATTGCGAACTTTGATGCATCTTAACTTTAACTATGTCTTGAACTAAATATCTTAACAACTTTTAATAATAACAAAGTATTAATAAATTATTACATACGTAGACTATAAAGTTGTTCTCATTTGCATTAAAATATAAATAAAGTGTTATGGAAGTTTTATATTAATTAATAATAAAACTTTGTAACGGAAATTATAAATCGATTTTACGTGATTGAGTTACAATTAAAAATTCATTTCTTAAAACTTATTTTAATAAGATTTTTATGTGATTCTTATTTATTTTAACAAAATTTTTATGTGGTTGTTATTTATAAAAGCTTTTAAACAAAATGTGACATATTTAAGTTAATTGAGAAGCTAGTTAAATTAGGCAAATGTTTAAATAGACAAAATTATTATTGTCTAACCTTTTGTTTAAATGTTTGTTTAAAAAAAATTTAACTTGGATATTTTCTCATCAATTAAATTTTTAGATTTAATTTCATAAGTATTGTCTTCCTTTAGAGTTCTTTTAGCTTTAGTTCCATTTCATTTGAGCTAAATTTGTTTTAATGTAAATTTGATGTGAAGATATAGTTCAAATGATGTTGAGATCTCCTTGTATTCACAATTTTAGAGATATGCTTAACGTATTCTTAAGATTCTTAAAAGTTTATCCCATGTAATCTTTTTTACCTCACAAGACTTTTGTTTTAAGATTTTAGACCCTTGGTATATTGTCCAACAACTTTATGTTAATTTGAATTTTTAAAAAAGTATTTTTGAGTGCTTCAAGCCCGTTTAGAAGAATCTACATTTTTAAAAATATATCATTCACAACCTCATCATCTACCACGGTGGAAGACTTGGACTAGCACATTTAGAAGAATCTACATTCTTAAAAACATATCCACAACCTCATCATCCACCATGGTGAAAAACTCGGACTGACGCATGATTGTGAAAACTTTTTGGGTTATATGATGATAACTATTTTGTGCAAATATTTGTAATTTTTATCATACATTTAAAACACTTTTTGCATCCTTTATTTTCATATTTTAGCCTATTTCCTGTCAGTAATAATAAATTGGGTTTTGTTAAGTGGTGGATTTTAAGTCTAACTTAACTCATAAAACTGACTTGTAAGATGAGATTTACATCTATTTATAAAGTTTGAATTAGCTTTATCTCTAATTTATGTGAGACTTTCAAAACACCTCTCTCTTGTCAAAGTATATATATCTCGAGCGTGAGACTAAACATTAATGGGTGGTCCGATAGTAACTCGATAGCAAGTGAAAAAATATGTCCAACAAACATAAATCTCGCTAGGATAGACTCTAACAATGACTAAGAAATAATAACAAACTAACTAAAGATTAAAAATAAAAATAAGACAAAGATAATATATCTAACACTTCCCCTCAAGTTAGTGCATACAAATTGTATGTACCAAGTTTGTTACTAATATAATCCATAAAAACTTAGTAAAAATATATGTTTCTGCATTCGAGTGACATCAAATTGTTAATGATTTGCAAAGACAACATAGAAGATGAAATGACAACCTAGAAGACTCTCCCTAAGCAACAAATATATAAGGTTGCTCCATGTAAATCTCTTCTTGCAAACCACCATTAAAGAATGCATAGTTAACATCTAGTGGATAAAGAGGTCATTGTTGAAGAGCCACCATAGCTATAAATAAACTAACAAAAGTCATCTTTGCCATAGGCGAAAAAACATATATAGACGGGTCAAACGCAATGGTGATAGAAGGGAAGTCAAAAGAGACAGCAATGAAACATGGATGAATAAGAGAGCGAAACCTTAAAAATCTAAGATTCTCCAATCAAGGCATCTGAAAAAGAAAAAAGAGCAACCTCAAATCTTTGAATAGTCGCTTGAGAGAAGACGATGTTGTTAAGACAAAATCGTCCATGCGCCTAAACGCTCTTATATTTTTAAGTTTAATCAAATAACATTAAACGGAATAATAATATGGAAATAACATAGGAATAAAACATAAGACTTAGAACCAAAATTCCCAACACAAAAAACCTTACGAAAACACTTATGTTTTTAGGAACCATAAAAACAACTAAGTCAAAAGCACTCAGACACAATGCCAAACGTCGTTTAAATCAAAAACATCTAAGAGAGTTGAAGCTAAACATGTAAAGCCTATCATACCCAAAGGGTATTCAGTTTAACTCTCAAGAAAACGAAACAATATCAAGACAATGTCGTAAAAAAAAAAAACATTCTAAAAGACTAAAACTTGAAACACAAAGAAAAACATAGCATGCTAACATTATTGCTATGAAAAGACATAATAACAAAAAACGTTTACATCAATCTAAACCATACCATGAGCTAAACTATTACTTCATCCAAATGATAATTCTGCTGAGTGTTAGAGTTTTAAAAGTATTTCTCTTGCTTTATCTCTCTACATCGTATTTTATCCATGTTTAGCCTAACTTAGAATGAGTTGTTGTGAAAATACATATCTAAAACATTTTAAAAAAATAAACTAGAAAAGCTACAAAGTTGCTTTTGATGAACTGCATCAGACACAAAAACCGCTAATTAATCACTTGTAACACAAAACCTCCCCTCCCCCGCCTCCACCCTCTCTCTCATATCTTGAACATGACCTCTAAAGACTATCAATTTAAGTGTTCAAAGAATTAACTCTTAATAATGAAACATACTCTCATTTTTAAAAAAAATTAGAATTTAAGTAAATTTCTAAATTGACTAACATTAAATGTTAAAGAAATTGAGTGAATATATAAATGATATTAGGGTTCAATGAAGTCCAACCCTAACAATAACTAGCCATTTCAGTTCTTATCTTATTACCTTCTAAGTACTTAATAAATTCTCAAAAAAAGTTTTAATTATTTTTGCACAATTTTAGTTCCTTTAAATATTAACAAAATATGAAAATATTATATGATTGGTACATTTGCAAATAAACAAAGTACAACACATGTTTCAAGCACAAAAAAATCCACCAAAGACCTTGCCATGTAAAAGTTTTCTAGCTTTCTCTATAGTGCATAATCGCAGCTTCAAGTGAACTTCTTAACTTCATACTTTGCATAAGACATCATTGATTTAGATCCTTGTTCAATACACTAGTTTATTGTCAAATTAGGCACGAGCTCACAATAACAGATTTTTAGAAATACAAGAACTCTTAGAACATCGTACACATAAATAAAAAAACTTACGAACTAACATATGGTAAAGCTTTTAATTAACATTAAACGGCCTGTACAACAATAGTATATAACACGTTTACCATCTAATGATCAACAAAGTAGACTACGAGCACCTTTTATAGATTTAATTTCTAAGTCAATATCAACAGCTCCAGTTTAAGACTGCTGTAATTGTAATTTAAAACCTTGATGAATACGTACAAATAACACTAGCTTGAAAAGGTTGGTCGCTATCAAATTTCTTGATATATTATTACATTATAAGTTTGTCAAGAGTAAAATATGAACCAAACAGTACCAAATCATTATTATTTATATTTCCACTTTACGAAGAATGAGATGAGCACCATATTGGGGTTGAAGAGTAATCACAGTAATTGGAGCATGAGTATAGGTCGAAGAGAGTTCAAACGAGAAACGTTGTAAAATCATTGACAAAGCAATCTTTGCTTCCAACAAGGAGAAGTTTTGTCCAATGCATATCCTAGGACCACCGCCAAAGGGAATTAGTGAAGCTCTTCCATTTGTGGCCTTTACAACTCCTTCAGCAAATCTCTCAGGTTTGAACTCTTTAGCATCATCACCCCAGAGCTCACAATCATGATGAACCAAAATTGTTGGCATGGAAATTTGCATTCCTGCGACTAATGATAGATTTCCAAGTTTCACATCTTTACGAACTTTTCGAGCAAGACCAATTACTGGTGAGTATAGCCTGAAAACCTCATTCAAAATCATGGTAACCTGTTCCAAAAATATTCTTAGTAATTTACTTTGACCATGTTATTCAATATCAAAATGATAATACGAACTTACAATCTTAAGGTGATTCAATCCATCAAAATCTGGTTTTCGATTGGAAAAAACTTGTAAGACTTCCTCCCTTGCACGTGTTTGCCAATCAGGGTACATACTCAATAATATCATTGTCCAAACAAGCAAAGATGAAGTGGTCTCCTGCCCTGCAAAGTAAAATAATTTGCATTCTGCAATAACATCTTCAATATTCATTCCAACATTCTTATTGTTTCCATGTTCTTGAATTTCCTTGTGATTTGACTCCAGAAGTATATCTAACAAGTCATGTTTAGTGGATTCACCCTCCTTTAGTGCTTCCTCTCTGTTATTAATAATATCCATAAGCGAAGCATTTATTTCCCTGTCAATTGCCTTCATCCTTCTATGGGTAGCAGTGGGTACAAATCTACAAGGGAACATAATCAATCCTGTATTAATCATTGATTTTAAGGAAATTCTCTTTTTGATATCAAATACATTTCTATGATGGGTTTTTCAATGCTAAACATAGTTTGATTTTACAAGTTCAAATAGAGAGATATCACATAATCATATCACAATATTTGGTAAAATGGTTGTTGTAAACAAGTTTCTTTGGTTTAGTTAAATATCACATAATGGAATAGTGGTTTAGTTAAATGTCCTTCACAAAAGAATGGAAATTTGGTTTAGTTAAATAAAGATCATCCAAAAAGCTTGATACTTGAGTCTATCAAGTAGTCAAATATATAATTAGTTTTACCTCCATCCAGGGATGTAAACTTTCAACATAAGTTGCACTGTTAGTTGAGTTTGCTCTTTTAGAAGTTGAAATATTCTTCGTCCTTCTTCATAACTACTTCCAAATGCTGTTCGAGAAATTGCGTCACTAGCCAATGTCTGAAGGAAAGGCCATACGTCTATTTCACTTGATCCATTGAAAGACAACATTTTCTCCCATTTGCTAATCAGATCATCACAACATTTGATGAATAGTGGTAACATATCCTTAGGTGTAATGCAGAAATAGGGAAATGTTAATATTTTCAATGTCAACAGAGGTTGGTAAATATACAAACTTCATATCATGTTACTTTTACACCAACAGATGTTAGATTCAAGAGAATACTTTTTTGTGTAGTAATTTTTACTTGCAAAATAAAAATAACACATATGTGCAACACAAATAACTGTGTCTAGCATTTTTGGAAGGTACATTAGTCAATATGTAATATCTATGTCTAGTAATAAGAAACTAACCTTCAACTTCTCTAAGTTGAAAGCAGGATTGATTATCTTTCTGTGCNCCTTCACAAAAGAATGGAAATTTGGTTTAGTTAAATAAAGATCATCCAAAAAGCTTGATACTTGAGTCTATCAAGTAGTCAAATATATAATTAGTTTTACCTCCATCCAGGGATGTAAACTTTCAACATAAGTTGCACTGTTAGTTGAGTTTGCTCTTTTAGAAGTTGAAATATTCTTCGTCCTTCTTCATAACTACTTCCAAATGCTGTTCGAGAAATTGCGTCACTAGCCAATGTCTGAAGGAAAGGCCATACGTCTATTTCACTTGATCCATTGAAAGACAACATTTTCTCCCATTTGCTAATCAGATCATCACAACATTTGATGAATAGTGGTAACATATCCTTAGGTGTAATGCAGAAATAGGGAAATGTTAATATTTTCAATGTCAACAGAGGTTGGTAAATATACAAACTTCATATCATGTTACTTTTACACCAACAGATGTTAGATTCAAGAGAATACTTTTTTGTGTAGTAATTTTTACTTGCAAAATAAAAATAACACATATGTGCAACACAAATAACTGTGTCTAGCATTTTTGGAAGGTACATTAGTCAATATGTAATATCTATGTCTAGTAATAAGAAACTAACCTTCAACTTCTCTAAGTTGAAAGCAGGATTGATTATCTTTCTGTGCTTGCTCCACTTTTCTCCCTCGAGGCTTACAAGGCCAGGAGCTAGTAACCTGACTTGTGGATTCATGGTAATCTTTTCGAAGTCATTAGACTTGTTGAATACTTCTTTGATTAGCTCAGGATCAGTTAGGGTCACCCTTGGTGCCGGTCCAAACCAAATAAAAGAATTTTTACCTGCACACCATCAACAAGCATTACGAATACGGTTAAGTTGAATATGAAAAGGAAGAAAAACAATATCATGAATCGAAAAGAATAGACAAATTTGTGTGTGCTATTTGACTTTGATATATATACATGTGTGTTTCTTGATCTTAGACAAAAGTTGTTAAGATTAAAGGATAAAGTCCTGTGATTTTTTAAATTAATCATGTGATGATAGGAATCAATAGCAGAAATTAAACATAATAGTATTAATTAGCCTAGGCGGTGTAAACAAGTCTAGACATTAATTAGCCTTTAATCTTGAGTGTCCAAGCATGTTTTTGTATGTCTAAAATTTACTCATCTCATTCATATAAATATGGAACACCATGTAGAAGACTTCTAATTCGTTCTGTAAAATTTCTAAGCATATACTCCATATACAATCAGACTAAACAAACATAATAACACAATGCATGTGGCACAGCAAAATTATAGGTACCAGACTGATATTCGAACAGAATGACGCAGAAATAGAAATCAAAGGAATTTGGAAAATTGTTTGCAAGATACATCAGCAGCCACTGCTATCTATAGTAAGGACTCATAGAAAATTGCATGTACTATAGCCTTCAAGAGCAGTTCAATAAACCATAAGAACCTTAGAATTTAGAACAAAGCTTTTCATTGCCCCTTGCACCAACGATCCAATCTGTATGGTGAGCTTTCACGTAAACAAAGTCATCTACCTGACATTTCACCTCTCTTCTTTCTCGATTTCTAATCTTTGCTTCATCTAAATCCTTTTACTTCAAGGTAGCACTTTCATTCAAAACTTCTGTCATATATGTTTAGATACTTTCTTTCCCATCCAAAAGAAGGGGCCTTATAACAACAGAAGAATATCCTCGTGCAAGGACAAATACCATTGAGGCATTATGGTTTCGCGTTCTTTAAGCATATTTATACTGTGCCTGCCTACACCTTTGACTTATGGAAGAAAGAACAGAGCATTAATCTGCTTTAATTTAAATTTGTATGCCTTGAAAGTTCACCAGTATTCCTCTTCTTCTTCCATTATATCATGTGATTGCAAACCTAGTTTCATGTCATTTGTAATGACAGGGATCTCCAAATTATGATCATTATCTTATTACTAAAGGGATGTGACTGATGTTGATTACATTATGCACGATACAAAAAGTAGTTTGCTCTAACTAGTATGAACATTCTCATTTGTTCTTATCTCAAATTATTTCGACAGATTCAGTAAACGAATTCATCATATAATGAACAACTTTCATATACAGACCTAATATATTTGAAGATAAGAGTTTGGAATCATTCTGAAATGTCTCCCTGAGATTTCTTTGTAGCGCTGTAAGTGTTTCTTGTACAACAACTAGTTGGAGTTATAGCTACTGATCTAAAATCTAAATGCATAAAAATAACCAATAAACTTTGAAATACTAGCTTATCAATTAAATCCAGTTAGCTACTTTGTAGCTTTTGGAACCTGTCACTCTAGTGGACTCTCAATCAGTATACTCTGAGAAGTCACACTTAGTCACTTACGTACAAGAAAAGTGTCGAAATTTTATGAGATGTTTGATGATAGAAAATTAGAGTTGCAGGTAGATAGAATTGAATTGGAAAAGAAATTGTAAAATAGCGAACTTACTTAGCTACTTATTTCCAGATAAAACATTATTTGTTCTGTGACATGTTAATCTGTCAGTAGAAAAAACAACATCCCATGCATAGCTATCCAAATGTAATAATTCATGAACAAATATTGAGCATCATGTGAGTGAAATATTCTGATCTATTCTGAACAACTACTACGAAAGTTAGCATCGATGCTTCAGCCACAAAGTACTTGGACAAAACAAAAGAAGGCCTGAACGAAGAAAGACAAAGCAACAGCGACAAAAAGACAATAAAAGAAGGAACGACAAGCATACCATGTGTGTTGATACTATGATGGAAAAAGGAAAACACACGTGGCACTATGTCGTGTGAGAAGAGATTCATGGGTTTGGAGTAGGTTTCCTTTCTCATGTTCACAAATTCATTGGTGTCTCCAACGAAAAGGGTATATGGATTGCCTTGAAGACCTTGCTCTCTTAGAAGCCTTTCAAGCCTCTTGGGTGTGAACCATAACCAATTCAGCATCCTCCATGCGCATATCAGAACCAGTATCAGGATCAGCATCAGAATCCTTCTCCACACTACTTCCATTTCTCTCTATCAGAGTTCGGTGGGAAAAGTTGATGACTAATAGGAAGACCAACCAAGAGATTTCGGTACATAATGTTTTCTTTGTTTTTGAACATTCCTACGATACCCTCTTAAAAATAAATGTATTGACTATTCATAAAATTTGTTTTCTCTATAATTATAACATGTTTTCTTGTTTGTGATTAGGTTATAGTAAGTTAGTGCGTGTTTTAATTTAGTATACACACTTAAATAAAAGGTTTTTTATTGTCAATTTTGATTATTTTAATTTACAAATTTTATCATTAGTTAGAAAAAATACTAAATTGTACCACAAACAGATCGTTGGTCTGAAAGCAAGGTTTGGAATTCAAGGAATAAAAAGAAAAAAAAAATTATTTAAAAGATCCCAGCTAAAGATAGTCTTCTACGTTCATTTGACATTGTCAAATAATAATATTTTGGTTATAATTATATTATTTTTTAAATTAATATATTATTATATTATTAAAAGTAGTACCAAATAATGTTTTTTTAGATCCGTGTCAAACTAACTTGTTATTAGAAAAACTTTCAACCCTATTCTTCCTTTTGTCATCATGCAATCTAGCATCTGGATACTGCCCGAACAAGAATAACAAGTAAGACTATGGAAAATTTGAACAAAAATTAATGATTAATAATTTATTAGATGTTTTTAAAAATTTATTTACTTAATTATAGCAGTAAATATTAACATAAGAGTTTTGTTAAATATGGTTTCAAATTGGTTAAATTTTTCCTAAATTTTTTACATATTAAAAATAAAAAAAAGATAAGTTATATATTATGATTATTTATAAGATATATAGAGATATTACGTATTTTAAAAAAAGATTTCAATAATAGAAAATATGAAACAAAATATAATCAAATGGTATATAAAAAGGCCTAAAGAAGCAGAAAAGGAAGTCCGGAAACCCTTTCGAGGTATCCAATTTCGTGTAGCACTCTTTTGCACCTGTCTCTTTCTCCTTTTAATGTTCTCACATATTTTCTTTTTCCATTCTTATATTTCTTATGCTTTTTATGGAGTGTAAAGCTTTAAGATTGACTCTATTGTAAATTCTTAATAGATTACAGTGTTAAAATAAAATAAATTATTTATTATTATTATTATTATTATTATTTATATCTATGTTTTTTATCTTGAAATAAGATAAAAATAATAATTTTTATATTGTAACAAATTCAGTCGTTGAATCTGTATGCATATTAATTGTATGAATAAAAGGATTTTTAATTTTAATTGAGAATTTTTTTTTAATAAAGTTAAAAATTTTAGGATTTATGTTTTTGTCAATTCATAATATATTTTGATTAAAAGTAAAAATTTTAACAAAAATTAGTTAAGAATGTATTTTAATTAATTAATGTTTTATTTGGTAAAAGTGATAAAAGAATAGCTATAGTTATAATATTTTTGGTTAAATTTGTTATGGTTAATATAAATTTTTTAATTAATAATGTATTTTGATTAATAGTGAAATTTTTAATAAATTAATTAAGAATTTATATTGATTAATTTGAAATCTAGGACAAAAGTCAATTGAATAAAAAATTTTAGAAGATCAATAATCCTATTTTGAAAAAGCAATAGAATCAACCAATTTTTTTGGTATTATTTTATCTTTTATTGCAATTTATTTTTGTTATTTACTTTTTATTTTTTACTTTTTTCTTTATTTTATTTTAACTAAATGCTTTATTTGTATAGATTTTACAAGAGCTAACTTAAAAGAAATTAGATTTGTGTTTGTTTGGAGATGACTTTTGGGTTATTTTAGTCATTCCAATATTTTGACTATTTTTTAACAATATTAAAGTTGTTATGACTAGCGTTAATTTGAATGTGTTGACAACAACATTATCAAATTTTAACATTGTTATTATTATAAGTAGCCTTAATTTGAATGCTTAGACAATATCATTATTAAATTTAACGACATTGTCGGATAATACAATTATAGTGTTTGAGTGTTGCACTTCTTCGATTGTGCGATGTGAGAAGAGGGGAATGATGTTTTGCTTAAACTCCAGCTCATTGTTGACTATAGTATCCGGTGTGCGATGCATCGACGTTTTTACTCGTAAGTCCTTAGAGCAGGAAAACAAGTCCTTTAGCCGGGAGGGTGGGATGACTTGAACGAGCATGTTCAGTATAACAGGTGTGTGAGGTGTGGTACATGAGTATGATCGAGTCTTTCATTTTGGAGTTCATGATGATGTTGATGTTCATGATGATATTCATGATGATGATCATAGTGATGACTACTAGTACAAAAATATCATATAACATCGTTATTTTTTGGCCTTTCGTCGAATTTGAGGTCGACGTCATATCGGAAGACGTTAAATTGACGTCGAATTTAAAAAATTCGACGTTAATCAAATTGACATCGAATTTTGTTAATATTCGACGTTAAACAATTTTTTTTTTGTTTTTCTTAATTAATTGTAATCCTTGTTTACAATTCTATGAGACCTGAAAAGCATAAAAAACAACAAATTTCAGTTTTTGATATTTTATAAAGCATGAACTATGAACGCGTAGTATAGTATCAACAACAAACAACAATTACAAACAACAAACAAGTTCAATTAAACAACAACAACAACAAACAAGTTCAACAAAATAACAACAAAAAACAACAACAAAAAAGTTCTTCAAAACGAAAATGAAAACTAACCTTGAAAAGGTGGGTTCGTCAGAATAAAGTGTTTCCACCAATGAGAGAGAAATCATAATGCGCCTATGAAGGACAAGAACACAAAAATAATCGGTCAAAGCAACTGAAAATTATACATAAAGTAGTTAATTAACATGCATTTGTATCAAATGAAAGAAAGATTACATGTGATGGTCGTCAAACTTCGTTCGAGAAAAGTTTGAGAGGAGAAGATGCTCTCGCGCGCTAAGATAAAGTGAATGAATTTTCAATCTCTTACTTAAGTTAAAAAGGGAAAACTTTTTGCTGACAAATAATACGTCGAAGCTCCTACAAAATTTGACGTATTATATGTGGTTTAAAAGAAAAAAAGAAAAAGAGAATTAAAAAGGGTTACTTTTTGGCTTCTGTCTGACAAATAATACGTCGAAGACCTTATAGAATTTGACGTATTATTTGTTGTTTAAAAGAAAAAGGATTAAAAAAAGTGACTCTTTGGCTTTTGACTGACAAATATTATGTCGAACCCCTACAGGATTCGAAGTACTGGTGGTTTAAAAGAAAGAAGAAAGAGAATCACGCGCTGGTTTAAATAATTACCATCATAGAATGTCAAATTGAATGGGGCTTCGACGTTCTACAATTACATTTATTTATAAAAATGTCACCGGTCATTTTTACGTTGGTTATTGAGTGGTTGGACGTTGAACGCGTGACGTTATTAACTGTTTTTGCACTAGTGGAGGATGCTTCTGATGATGTTATGATAATGGTGATGCATTTGTGATCGTGGTGATTACCATGGTGGAATAATTAGCGAAGGTGATGATGAAGAGATAGACCGAGAGTCTGCGTGGGTGATGTTCATGATAACATTGAGGATCGAGAAATCGTTGATGATTTATGTTGACGACGTTTAGAGTATTATGAGTTCTAGAGGTAATGCTCTTAAGAATGGGGTGACTTAATTGTTATTATGTAATAAGTATTTATTATTCATCTATTGTATTCTTATGGTTTGTTTTAATGGTAGTTTACCACATACTGGTTTGTATTTGTGATTGTCGTGATGATCATATAATGATTTATATGTGAGTATAATAGGAATGCAAGAGAATGGGTTAAGATTCAGATTGATTACAATTGTTTATTTTTATAAATTTTTGAAATAATCTAATTGGACTTATTTCTTTATGTTGATTATTTTTATTGATCATGAACTATGTAATTGGGATGTTACATATGGCAACTAGGAAAAATACATTTTTTTTAAAATGTGATCTTGCTTGGATTCAAAATTGGAAAAGAAGATATTCATGTAGACGTTACAAAATAAAATTTACCCAAAGATTAACTCACCCCTAAAAATGTAGGAGAAGTACAAAGCTTTCATGGATTAGCTAGCTTTTTTTAGAAGATTTGTGAAGGATTTCTCTTCTTGTTGATCCTCTTAATGAACTTATATTAAGAAGGATGTGTCTTTCATATGGGATGAAAAAACTATTAAGGACTCAATACATAAATTGACTCATGCTCTTGGTTTAGCTCTTCCAATCTTTGAATTAAAGTGTGAGGAAATTGGGATAGGAATATATAATAGGTGTTATGTTACTTCAAGTCATTCATCCGTTTACTTTAGTAAAAAAACTTCATGGATCCATCTTGAACTATTGCATTTATGACAACTTTATGTTCTTATTAAGAGCCCACAAAACCATGGGAGCATTACTTAGTGGCTAAGAAATACATCAGATCATGAGTTACTTAAATATATCTAAGGAGAAGATAAGTTAAACAAAATAGTGGATAGACTCTTTTGAACAAGACCCTTATATTATTAAATACAAGAAAGGTTTCTCACACATTAATACTAGAAAATAAAGCAATAATAGTCATGAAAATGTTGGTCTCCTTTAATCTTCTTGAAATGTTATTACATTATAAGTTTGTCAAGAGTAAAATATGAACCAAACAGTACCAAATCATTATTATTTATGTTCCCACTTTACGAAGAATGAGATGAGCACCATATTGGGGTTGAAGAGTAATCACAGTACTTGGAGCGTGAGTATAGGTCGAAGAGAGTTCAAACGAGAAATGTTGCAAAATCATTGACAAAGCAATTTTTGCTTCCAACAAGGAGAAGTTTTGTCCAATGCATATCCTAGGACCACCTCCAAAGGGAATTAGTGAAGCTCTGCCATTTGTGGCCTTCAGAACTCCTTCAGCAAATCTCTCAGGTTTGAACTCTTTAGCGTCATCACCCCAGAGCTCACAATCATGATGAACCAAAATTGTTGGCATGGAAACTTCCACTCCAGCAGGTAATGACAGATTTCCTAGTTTCACATCTTTACGAA